TCACCTCAAGTCCTAGAGAGTCAACTCTCTTGCTAACGGCATTAGGGTTGACACTAATATACATAACTTGACTTAACCCCTCTATTCGATTCCACTGCTATCCCCCACGACATCCGGTCCATCTGTGGCTTTGCTTCCCTCGTGGAAGCTGAGGGTCCATCTCCTTCGCCTTCTGCGCAAGAACCCTAGACAGATATCCGTGCCCTGTATAAGATTTCACCCGTCTGCCGTCACTCCGCTTCCATATCGGTTATTCACCATGGCTGCGATAACGCCGTCACCCGCTGCGAATGATACGAAAACCGCCAGCACCCCCGCGTCCCCCGTGGAGTCAACTACATCACAACCTGTCGGTGCAAAGCGGAAACGAACCGCAGAGCCCAAGTTCTATGCGGTAAAATTCGGATTCCAGCCTGGAGTTTACCATACGTGGAATGACTGTTTAACGCAAGTGACGGGCTTCAAGGGTGCTGTTTGTAGGCTTTTATATCTATTCTTCTATCCCAACTCCCTTCTCTTCATATATCCAAACATCGAAAAGTTTGTCTATAATTCTGCCATCGTATTCACACTACAGTGTCGAATGCTAACTCATCTTTTGTCTCCTTATAGTCCAGTCGTTTCCTACTCTGGATGAAGCAAATGCCTTCCTCACTGGCGCACAAACTGCTACGGGACATGGGAACTCTTCCACCAGCACAAAATTCTACGGTGTACAGCGGGGACGAAAGCCAGGTGTATATACCGACTGGGCAGTGACGCAGGATCAAGTGCGGGGGTTCCGGGGACCTAAATATCGCAGGTTCGCGACTTGGGCTGAGGCAGATGCCTATGTTCGACAGGGACAACAGATGCCGGAAGAGACAGAAATTGCGCAAGACATGGAGTATAAACCGAATCTGTCCGGGAAGACGAACCTACCTGGCGCTCCTGGCCTGACATCGGAACGGCCAACCGATGCCGATGGGAAAGAGTATCCGCCTGGATTGGGGCCCGTGCCACCAGGTGCAGTTGACGGGTTTGACCCGAACGTCCTTCTTGATCCTACAACGGGGAAATTGAAATATAGATCGCCACATGAAAAATTACCAACAAAGCAGCAACCGGGACGTCCGGGACCTTTAAAAATATACACCGACGGAAGCTCTTTGAGAAATGGTTCCATGGGAGCCAAGGCTGGTGTTGGAGTATATTTTGGTCCTGGCGATGAGAGGTATTTAGGCCCCATCTTATACTTTAAATATTAATCTGCGATAGGAGCGCGTTGTTTCAAAGAGCTCTCGGCCCTTTACTAACATCTCACTCTCTCATCCCCTGTCAGCAGGAACGTATCCGAGCCACTCAAAGGCAGCCGACAAACAAACCAACGGGCAGAACTGACGGCAATCATACGCGCATTGGACATTGCGCCACGGCACCGCGACGTCACTATTTTCACAGACAGCAAGTACGCGATCAACTGCGTGACGGTATGGTTTGTGAATTGGCAACGCAACAAATGGATGACGGCGCAGGATAAGCCGGTCGAGAACAAAGATTTAATCCAATCCATACTTCTCAAAATTGAAGAGCGGACACTGCTGAATGTCAAGACGTTGTTTGAATGGGTCCGAGGACACAGTCGAGATCCTGGAAATGAGGCAGCTGACCGGCTGGCGGTGAATGGAGCGAAAAATGGGCCGCTGGCTTCGAATGACATTGCGACTCCTGAGCCTGAAGATTACGGTGGTGGGATTAGAGGTAGTAGTGGTGATTATGATGACAACATTGATGAAGTTGGAGAGCGGACTGAGGGAGATGACTGAGGCGAAGATCGGGTTTGATGATCACCAGAAGAGGGTTGTCGAGGTACTGTTCTGGATGTTAGTGTGGGGTTGTATTGTCCTTGTTCTCTCTCTGCGCAGGGCGTTGAGGATTGGATGTGGTTACAGTTCGTTTCATTCTTATGTCTCGTGATATCTATGTTTCATATTACATTGTCTAGTTTTCTCCAAAGGAATTCATTTCTTCTACCCCTGGAGAGATACGTATGTGTTTCTTTCACAACGAACTCCGGCTTGCTTTCGATTTCATGGTCTCTATATTCTCCAATCCCTTTCTCAGTTCCGCCCCCGTTTATTCTGCAACCAATAGCGAATATTTCTCATGTATTTACTTTTCCTTGACATTGCTGCCACGACTATCTACATATTCATCTAACGATCACCAACAATTCGATTGAATGGGAACGTTCCCTCTTAAATTAGTTACATTTATCTGATTTTAAGACTCATCAACAATGACTACTCTCAATGCACCACTCCATAATGGGTGAGGAAGACGCGCGACGTTATCGATACAATATCCTGACGGGTCAGGGCATTGTGACGGAGTGGGACAAACCAGAGTTATAACCAGAGTATAACCTGGCCTATTCATTTTGATGAACAGCAATCTCCGGCCATCTAATATTTGTTATTGATGAACCTTCAACATCACATCAGTCTTAGGACCGGGAGCCTCATACCGGCTCACAAGAACCTCGAAAATACTGCAGATTGCGAAGCTCATACTCTTGTTCCCATAGGTGTGTAGGCGCTCATACGTGGATTTAAACAAACTCCAAACCGACCATTCCATACGTGTTACAATCCCCAGCGACGACCGCGATTGATGCGCTTTCTATCGAGGATACGGTAAAATGAGGTGTTTGATGGTCCTTATATTGCCCACAGGCGATAGTGTTTACTGTGTGACTTTGCTGTTATCCAATTTTATCACAAGTCCAAGAAACCGAGTTATTGAGAGGGTAGAATGACTTTTGTGAAAAGCCAATGGTGATCTCACAGCAAGAGTCTAACGGGGAGCCGGGACAAAGCGGGAACTGGAAGCTGAGGCCAAAAACCACGCTCGTGGTGGCGGTTACTATTGGCATGATGGATATAATGTAGATCGTCAGTACTCCGTACAAAGCTGTGGAATTGAGATGGATTTCCTGTTAGCGCAACAGCTTACCCTGAGCTGCTGCGTATGGCGGTATGCCTCATCCTCCCCGGCCAGTCTTCTTGGTGGCGTGGGCAAATCAATCAGACATAGGGAGAGGGGTCAGTCAATTCCGCTCTGATTCCTTTTCTTTTCTTTTTTTTGCGCCCCCTTCCACCCCCCCAACCAGTGGAGTAAATCAGGCTTCACTAGTTACAACTGGTGCAGAACCTTATAGGGGACGCTGAACAAGGCCCCCAAACCGTTGGGCTGGGTTTAGAGCCTTGATGCCTAAAGTTTGGCTGTCAGTTTAGGCACAAAAGCCCCATAGCTCTTATGCTGGGAGGGCTGGATCATTGAGATTCCCATTTAAACCTCTCATGTTCCACGCCTACATATTTAAATATACCGAAGGTCATTGTAGCTCAAACATAGCAAGATGGCCTTTCTGGTTTATTTCAACAAGCGTTATCCCCCCTCGAAACGTCACACATCATAGCGAATGATCCCACTCAGAATAGCGTTGCGTTGGAGCACTCAACATCTATCTGACCAATGACCCTCTGCAGGAAGCCAATGAATCACATTGTCACACCAGTTATTCCTTGGAAACTCGGTAGGCTTTTCCATTCGGAATCTGCCAACTAAGAACCCGTTCATACATTGGCAATGCGGGTTAGGGATGTGTGTGCATGTTGTGTGCTATGATCCTATGCGGCGAAGCATACTTAAATATATCGACATCTATCTTCCCCGCTTTCTTGGAGTCTTAATATTCACTTATCAAAACCCTCTCACCTCCTGCTCCTTCTTTTGGGTCGGCAGACCAGGTGTTTGTATATTGATCATATATTTTTGATCTTTCGTTTTTGCTATCTACGATACATAGGTACCCAATCGCAGGCGGAAAATGTGAGCCTGGATGAGGGCCCAATATCAAACACCTAATATCAACAAGATCCTCAAGACCCTAAGCTATTGAACGTACCCTACGCTGTCGGAGTTCCTATTCGGCCACCATTGTTTTGTGTTATTTTGCAATTATCCTCCTTATTTACCACTTTCGCGGCAGAGATTTTCGCAGTACTCTGAGGCAAATCCGCGAGGTTGCTGCAGCTTCTTTATACAACCTTCAACTCCTCCGTCAGCGGGCATTTTTGGGGCGTGTGGCCACGATGGAACTAACAATTGAACACGATGTAGGGCTGACCATCCTCTTCTTCTCTGTCTTCAAATGACAAGTACTTTGGATCCTCCTGTTGAATTAACAACTACTTGCTGATCTGAAGATTTGGAGTGGCAGGATGAAATTCAGCCAGAGCCGGATCTGCAGCAGCAACATGGGAGCCCGTGAGTGGCCCCTCCAATCTCCAACAGCAAGTCTAGATAGAAACTTAGATGGACAAGAGAGAGTGTGTGTATACTTCCATACAGTTGCTAACTTTCCGTTAAGATGTAGCAGTACTTCATCACTAGCTTCCACTGTATTTAATTATAGGTGAAGAAAAAGCTCTCCATCCAAAGCCCCGCACCCCCCCGTTTAGTGACTGACCTACGTCTGGCGGAAGCGAGGCTAATATAGACCGGTTATGTTGATTTTAGGTTCGAGGTAAGTTAAGCTGACAGAGGGCATCAAACATTGAAAGAAGACCCTTAATAGTGTTTGGCATCATGATATTCACAATGCAATTTTCACGGCGGTACTTCAGAATGGCCGGCGATATCACGGATTGAAAGATGGATCATACTTTTTGGTGCGTGAAATTTCCGTTTTTATCACCTTGCTCCATCTCTTAGAAAGTCGTACAGGTACGCAAGTTA